CATAGAAAGGTCTGGTGCCTCTTCTGCTGAGCAGTGCTGAGCAAACCAGGGCCTCCCACATGCCAGGCAAGCATCCCACATCCAACCAGGGCACATCCCTCCTGACATCACCGCCCCAGCAATTCCTGGCTGTGATTCAGATGACTCCACCCACGGAAATGAAATTCCTAAGAGTCTACTTCTTCAACCCTCACGGGTGCTCACCTGGGGATAGAGCTGCTGTTGTTCCTCAGGAAACCTTGCCTTGGGAAGCAGGCCTCTGGGGCTTCAGTCCAGCCTAGGCTGGGAGAAGGTAGCTCGGACTCACCACCTCCTCCTTCCCCACACAACATCTGGCCCCAGGCCGAAGAAAGGAACAATCCGTCTCTCTGGCCTTGGTCTTTAAATCCCATCCCCGTGACTGTCCTGGTTGCTTCAGGTTCCTCAGAGGAGCATGGCAATCTGGCATGATACAGCTAAGAGGGTCAATCACTGTCCCTAATGCAAAAGCCATCTAGCCTGGGCTTATGTCCAGAAGCTGCCCTGATCCCAGGGTCCAGCAGCACTTCCAAACTTTTTCTCCAACTTCCAGTCATCACCCTTGAAGTCCTTGAGGTGGTTCCCTTGTGGGCAGCTCTGCTAGCAGCTGGCCACAGCAATGTGGTGATACAACCCCCCCCCCACACACACACACACATCTCACCGGGGACCTCCAGGAGCCAGGGTCCTCTCCACATCTGCCAACAAACCTGGCCCATGGATTCCTGCCCTGAATGCTCCACACCCCTCTGCCTCCGTCCAGAGGCTGCCTGTCTCTTTGATCTGGCCCAACCCAGCTTTCTCTGTGAAGTTACATGAACTACACATCATCTGTTGTCTCTCTAGAGCCATGGGATGAACTATGTCCCCCACAATTCATGCATTGAAGCTCTCACCCCAACACTATGCTGCTCACAGGCAAGGCCTTCAGGCATGATTTGGCTCAGGCAAGGTCCAGGTGTGGACCTCATGGTGGCTGAGTGCCTTTGATAAGGGCAGCACTAGAGACTAAAGGTCTCTTCTTTTCCCCTCTCTTCAGAGAGGACATAGCAGGAAGGTGGCTGTCTCAAAGCCAGGCAGAAAGACCTCACCAGGAACCAACATATCCATGATCTCAAACTTCCAGTTCTAGATCAATGAGAGAATAAATTTTTGTTGTGTGAGCACTATGCAAAGCCCCAGCCTCTGGAGCAGACAGTGTCCCCCAAGGTCCCCTCAAGTCATATTCCTTGCAGACTGTTTGCTTGTGTAGTAGCAACTCAGCATGCACAGCTTCCCTCTAGAGAATGTCAGTCCAAGACAGACATGGAGAAGGAAGGCACGGGAAGGAAGGACTCGACCCAGACAATGGAGCCCAATGGCCAGTACTCTAGACAGTTGAAGCCACTCCAGCTGGGCCATGTGAGCCCTGATCACCATGCTTTCTCATACCCCTGAGGTGTTCGCCTGAGATGGCTCCATAGATAACCTGCCACATTTCAGTGAAGAGGGAAGAACTCGGGTGGAGAAGGCAAATTCTGTGCAAATGTAAGTGGTTAGAATCAGAATGGAGTACAGAGTCCAGCATTCAGAGAAAGGTGCAGGGGCCAGGCTGCATGGGTTCAAATCCAACATCAGCCTCTTGTTGGCTGAGTGATCTTGGGAAAGTTGCTATGCTTCTCAGAGCTCAGGCTTCCTCAGGTACAAACTGGGGACTACTTCCATCTCACAGGGCACTGGAAGACCTCACACTCTCACTCATACCAAACTCTGGGCCGTGCGTGCTGTATTTTGTGCATCACACCTCTGGGGCCTGGGAAGAGGGTTTCTGGCTTTCCGTTCTGATCAGGGAGGGACCTTGGGAAGTTTTCTCTCTCCCTACCTCCCTGCACCAGGTCCACCTTCCCTCTCAGGGATGGGGTGCCTGAGTGGAGCAGACCAAGGGGCCAAGTTCAGGCCACAGACAATGCTGGCTGGCTCCAGATCCTGGAGCTCAGCACAAAGCAATCTCTAAAGTAAATAAAGTGAAAATAAACCAATCGTCCAGGTAATAGGAGATTTTTCTCTTGTCTGCACTAGTAATTGAGCCATTGTAGCCAAGCTCCTGGTGCTGTTGTGAATTACAAAGGGAGAGAAAGCAGCAGCCTGGCGGAGATGGAGATACACAGGTAAGTTCAAGGAAGGGGTCAGCTCCACGGTCTGGACCCAGATCCTATGTGTGCTCGGCCTCATTCTCCTCCAACTCATTCTGCTGGGGAGCTGAGTCCCACAGACTCAGGGGAGTGCTAAGTGCAGGCTCTGGGCACAAAGGCAATGCAGACTAGTTGCTGGCCTTCCCTTGGGCAGGGCACCATTTCCACCACCATGGCCTGGAGTGGTTTAAGTGTGTCCTGTGGGGGGTTCATGTGTCAAAATATAATTCCCATGGGGAGGTATGAAGAAGGTAGAAGCCAGATGGGGTGGTGGCCTATATCTGTGATTCCAGCACTCTAGGAGGTTAAAGTAGGAGAACCACAAATTCAAGCCTAGCCTGGACACCTTAGTGAGACCCTGTCCCAAAGTAGGGATATAGCTTAATGTGAGGCTCTGGAATCAATCACCAGTACCACTAAATAAATAGTAGAAACAAATCAACTGCAGTGTCTAGAGGTCGCACCTTTGGAAGATGACTAGGATTAGATAAATCATCCTGATGGAGTCCCATGTTTATCTTCCAGTAGTTATATAAGACAGACAGAGACCAAAAGACAGATATATACACACACAGAGAGACACACAGCCACACACAATCTCCTGATGAAGAGACTTTAGCCTAGAGTTGGCGTGGAAAGGTCCTTGGGATCTGAACCCCAAGGGCTCTGCCTCCTCTCGCTTCCTCGGAGCACCTGCAGCACCATACACAGTTGCTTCACCCACCCCAGCCCTCTAACGCCTCCCTGGGCCCAGCCCATCCAGGATGTGTCAACAGTCAGGTGCTGTTAGGAAGGGCGTGCCCTGCTGGTATTCCGAGGAAGCCAGGGCTGTGAGCCAAAGCACACAGACAAAGGGGATGCCTGTTCTAGAGGCACCTGCCACAGAAGCAGCACCAACCACCTCAGAGGACACCCTTGGTGCGACTCTGCCTGTCACACAGTGGACTCCTTCCCGGTCACCTCAGGTTGGCATAAGAGGCCAAAAGGCAGGATGAGCAAGTCCTCTAACTCCTGCTCACAGGTGGCCATGCCTCTAGTCACTCCCACACCTGGGCCCCACCTGCCTCAGCACGCACACTGGGGCCCCAAGCACCACAGTCACAGATCTCCTCCTCTGCCCCCATCCTTGGGCTTATTCAGTTACAACTGAATCCATCCCATTTTCTTTGAGGTCAAATCTATCCCTTAACCCTCCACCTATCTGCCATGTGACCCTAACAAACTGCTTCAGCTTTCTGACTCAGTTCCTTGTCTACAATATGGGAACATACTGACCTCTTCAGAAGGTTTTTTGGGATTGAATGGCATCATGAAAGCCCCAGGCACACGAAGTAGATGTCCCCCCTCTCCTAACTCTTAAAGCAGTGCTGCTAGAGTGGCTCCTCCTGCCCATACACGACTGCCCTGCTAACCCCTCACGGTCACTGATCTGGCTCCTCCTGCAGCAGGCCTGTCACAGTGCACCCTGTAGGTAGACTGCCACAGTGATGAGTGCTCCTGAACCAGCTGCAAGGGTATGTTTTCATTCTCAGTTACTGTGGAAATATCCCTAGGCCTGATTATAAAGGTCGAGCTCCCCAGCCTAATACTCAAGGCCTTCTGCCATCTGACCCCACAGCACACCTCAACGGGTCACTGCCATGCCCATTTGCTGCAGTGTCTTCCCTGACGTGCCTAGACTCTGGACTGCCCTTCAAGGACCTGCTTAGTGCCAGGTCCACTCCTTCCTGGAGGAGCATCCAAACTCCCTCTGGACCCTACATAGGTCATACACTCAACTTTTCATGCACCATTAGAAAACTGCACAGAGCAGACTTTTGCTGCTCCATGAAATCATGTATGTTACTCATCTGAAGAAGGACACAAATCCCAGGCCCCTAGATGCTGATTCTATGTGAAGTAAGGGCTTCACTTCCCTATTCTTATATCCTTGACTAAAATACTACTACTATCACCACCACTACTACTAACAGCAACTCTTTGGGCATGTTGGTTTCTTCCAGAGAAAAGAAACTCATCACCGCACAGCTTCTTCCTCTTGAACTCTGCCCCCAGAGTCATACCAACCAACCAAAGTACTTCGGAACTCTGGGAATCATTCCTCCACAAACAAAGCAGATTCCCAGCACTACACTGGGATCAGTAGTGTGTGCATGGATTCATGGATTTCTCATGTGCAATGATAGACTGCACCCTCAGCATGTGTTGGCACACATGTACACACCGGAGCCAGAGTCAGCCGAGCCAGCTGAGTCACACAGTCCAACCACACTGAGGGCAAGACAGAGGAGGAAGCAAAGGCCCCCGATCACCCCTTTCCTGACCTCTTCCTCTGTCCTGGAGGTTCTCTTTCTGCCTGATCTGTGAGATCCTATGCCCTGTGCCAACAATAGTGGCCTAGTGGTGGCCCTCTGCAGGCCCTCAGGTCAGGGGCTCCCAGCAGCACATCCCTGCAAGCCAGGAGCTTCGGTTCTAACCTGGGACCTATAGCAAGTCACTTCACTACTCTGTGCCTCAATTTTCTCATCTGTGACATGAAGAAGATGGATGTGGCTAGAGGGTCCCTGAGGTCCTTCTCCTAAGCAACCCAGAGCCCCTGCCAAGGGCTCCTTGGTGCCTCCAATCTGCATAGCACAGAGTAGTCCCGCTGAGTGCAAGAAGCAAAGAGGCAGGGACCTTCCAGAGTCCAACTGTCCTGACCAGGTGCGCCCAGCCTCAGCATGGCCATCCCACGCATGCACGTGCTGGACACACACGTGCACACACACGCACGCATCCTGGTTGCCCCCGCCCTGGGCGCCATCCACGCACCTGCCCACTAGGTTCAGTTCGGTTCAGTTCCGCTCAGTTCGGCTAGGTTCCGCTCGGTTTGGCTCGGCTGGGCTCGGCCCAGCCCGGCCCGGCCCGGCCCGGCTCGGCCGGGCTCGGCTCCGCTCTGCTCCGCTGCACAAGAGGAAGCGCCGGAGGGACCAGCTCGCGAGCCAGTCCCCGCGCGGGCGCAGGGCGGGGCCCTGGGTGGCTTCCGGCTCCCCAGTCCTTGTGGCGCGCGGGACGCGCCTCAGTCAGGTCCTGAGACTGCTGGAGACGGCGCGGGAGGTGCTTATTCGGAACACCCACCCCAGCTTTGTTGACAGGGATAGAAAAGAATTTTGTTGTTGATTCTTTCCTGCCTCTTCTGCATATTCCACGGTGGACGCGAATGCTTGCATAATTAAAAACCATCTAATGCATATTAATCAAGTAGTAAATACAACTTCAAAGGCCTTCGGGCAGAAGATAACCCACAGTGTGGTCCCCAGGGATTTCCCAGCCCCATCCCCACCGGAAAGAGGACCTCTCCAACAGGCCGGTCAGCAGCCGAAGGCCAGCTGCCGGCTGCTCCACGCCCCGGCTCCTCCCGCTCGTCCGTGCCTGCTGAGACCTTACCGGTGGAGCCTGAACCCAGACACAGACCCCCGCAGACTCTCAGTGTCCTAATGAGTGCACCATTGCTGGGGGCTCTGTGTATCAGCACCGCCCCCACCCCAAACCTACCCCCACCTCCACCCCCTGTTCCGAGAAAGACGCAGAAACACTTGCCTTTCACAGCAGCTGTTCACGCTGGCCCAGGATGGGACCCCTTTCCCCTCCAGCGGGACAGCCGGCCTTCCCGGCCCTTTCCGATGTGCCCTTGCTCAGGCTCTTCTCGCCTGTTTTGGTGCGTGCTTGTTAGGTCGGCCCAAGGTCAGTGCTAAATGTGTTCCACCACTGCGTCCAGCGCTGCTCAGACCCAAGAGTTTGAGCGATGGCCGTCAAGTAGCAGAACAGGTTGCACGGGATGTACTTCCTTGGCCCTATGTGAGGAAAGAGGTCCTGTCATGATCCGAAGGTGACACATGGAAGGGACACAGAGATGCTATGATGCAAAGCCTGTCTGCCCTCATTGACAGCGGGGAAAGCCGAGGTCAGAGAGACTGAGTCAGTGGTATCAGTCAGAGGCAGTTAGTTGGATTAGCCTTCCATTTCTCTTTCTTTTTTTGTTTTTTTCTTTCTTTCCTTCCTTCCTTCCTTCCTTCCTTCCTTCCTTCCTTCCTTCCTTCCTTCCTTCTTTCTTCCCGCCTTCCTGCCTTTCTTTCTTTCCTTTTTCCTAATCCTCAGAACTGAACCCAAGTCTTTTGCACTGAGCTACACTCCCGATTGTTTATTTTAAGATGAGGTCTCACTAAGTTCCTAAATTTTCTGGTCAGTTGCCTATCACAGTTTCATAAAGTGTTAAGATATTACCAATCCAGTACCCAGAGTCTAAAGCCTACAGACGGACATCAGTTTGAATCTTGGTATTTCAGCTCGTCAGGTAGGGCCTCAGTGAGTAACTGAGGCTTTCTTGTGAATAGTCAACGGTTCCCACATCCTGCGTGTGCTCTAAATAAGTGTGTAACTAAAAGTGCACACGTGTGTATAGTGTAGTAGCTAATACCTGAAAGATGCCGAGTGTGTTTATGCCTACTACTAGCACCATTATTGTTGACTGCACCGTCTTGCAGGTGGACTAGCAGACAGTTTCTCATCACATGGATGCCTTTCTGCTTCCTGTCTTCATGTCCATGAGTCTGCTACATAAAACAGGAGGTAACCTCCCGCTAGCCTCCCAGTCATTCCCCGTCTCCTAATCATTCCACAGAACAAACCCTAAGAGACTTGGGCTTCATGCTGGTGTCTGGTGTGCTGGCACTTTCCTTCCTGCGAAGCGCACCTGTTCCTGGCTGCCTGGCTGCTGGTGAGAACTCTGAGCTGTCCTGTGAAGTGCTGAAAGTCAGGTAGCTTGCTGATGCTCAGCGGGGAAGATGAGGTGGAGCAAGACGACTCTTCTCAAGTATGGGTTTGGGAAACTGAGGCACTGATTAGTCCTAGGATATGTAGCCAGCCTTAAACACAGGCGGGATAGGATCTTTATTCCCCTTTCTCCATAGCTGCATGGCTTCCTGACCCAGTGAACTCATTTAGAAAATAAGCATTAATTGAGCTCATACTAGGTAATTTGGAAGCCTGGCTAAACAAGCTAGTGGGCATTGGACTGAAACAAGTGGGCCCACACTTAGAAGAGCTTCTGGTTAGCGTCAGCATTCTGCTGTTACCTTCTTAAAAGTCCTCATCATTTTGAACGAGGGCCTGCATTCTTATTTTACACTGCATTGTGAAACAGCTATATCAGACCTTGGCATTTTCCCGGGAACTCACAGCACAGGAGGAGTCAGCCACAGACCTGATACCTGCAGTGCAGTGTGACAGAGACTGTGACCAATGCAAGCTATCTGTGGAATAGGCAGGACAGGGCCATGGCAGGCACTCAGGCCACCTTCCCTGGCTAAGTTGCCCCCTTTAGTTTAGCAACAAGCACTGTCTGCAGCCTCAGGTCGTTGCTAGGCTTTGGCAATACTGGGAAACATAAATTCTTGTAGCCTCTAAACTCCCTCCACTCCCCTGCCAACCTCACCGCGCCCCCAGCTCATGGCTCAACCTGACTGCCCCTGGCTTCTGGTTTCTCTGCCTGCCCAAGCCCAGCCAACTTCAGGAAAAGGCTGATATTGTCTACCTGAGAAGCAAGGGGTAGACAAAACCAATGGGCTGCACTTGGGATTCATTCAGAATTTTTGCGTCCTCCTAGTCTACGTGCCTTACATGTAACAGACACACAGGTCATGCCACTGCAGTGAATGAAGGGTAAACGCATATGGGAAAGCCTGGAATTAGCATTCTAAAGGTTCTTGGTGGGAGAGTAGAGGATTTGGGGTTGGGCTTTGCTTTCACTTTTGTTTGGGGATGTGGGGAAATAGAGAAATAAAGAGAAACTGCTCTCAAGGAGCAGTAGGGGCAGATGGAGTGGGAGCAAAAGGAGAAAGCGGGTGGGGAGATTCAAGAGTATCTGTAGGTCAGGGCCCAGAGTCTCATAAAAGAAGTGGATCGGGATGAAGGCATGGTCAGCGGATATCGTGGGGGGGACTGAGAGCCAAAGTAAGGAGAAGGAGCCCCAGAGCTTTAGAGGTGACTGGGATGATAAGGATAGTAAGAAGGGGAGATGGAGGGAGGAAAATGGATGGAACTCACACCGGTGGTCCCTTTTTCCTGTGGCATGGGGACACAGATAATAGCGGAAGAATCTGGGCAGTGTGGGTGACCTTTAGACTCTTGTGCATGTTTTTGCCTCCTTGGGGCTTAGGGAGGGTATCTGTCCATTTTATGTTACTACAACAAAGTACCTGAGGCCAGATCCTTTATACAAAAAAGAGGGTTAATTTTTTTGATAGTCTTGGAGGTTTATGAACTTAGCACAGGCATCTGCCTGTCTAGGCATGAACTTTTTGGTCACATTACAATATGTCCAAAGGCAACATAATAGGAACATGTTGGAGGGGGAAATCACAGTGAGACAGGAAAGCAGAGTGATTGTGGGACCAGACTTTTGTTTCTGGAACATTCTGAAATCCAGGGCATTAACCAGGGTTCCACAGAGAGGCACAGTCATCCATGCAGAGGGCAGCACATGAAGTGGCACAGGGACCTGCCCTGGGTCCTGTCTCCAAGACGCTCCAAACCTCTACACAGAGGACCAAGCTTCCAGCATAGGAACCACTGGGGAGGGGTCACATTCACACTATATCCAAATCATAACAGGGCCACCCAGTGGGGGAGATAGTGGGAGGCAGGCTTGAATCATGCTTGCCTCGTTAGAGGCATTCTTCCCCTGTGTCTTTGTTTTTTCTTGCTCATTTACTGCTATCAACTTCAGCCTGGTTCTTCAGCCTCAGGGACAGTGGAAACGTATGCTGCCTCAGTACAGAAATTTTTTGCTATCTCTTCTTGGCTATGAGTCGATACAGGTACAGTTTCCAACAGGTGGAGACCAAGTAAAACAAACCAGATCTTTCAATATTGACTCTCCCCAGGTCCCTGTAAATGGGCAGCATCTGGCCCACCTCCCAGGCCTCACCTGCAAACGCCACAGCAAACAGCTGCTAGGCTGAGGACTGAAGAGCTGGCTCTTTCAGGGCAGAGAACTCCAGGAGGAAACCAAGCCTCCCGTATTCCTCCACCACAAACATGTGGGCTTGTTGGGAAGAAGATGTGTTCTGTGAGTAGCAGGAGCCATCCAAGCTGTGTGCTTATACTGAAAACTAGGGCTAGAAGCTAGGGCCTCCTTGAGAATGCTTGTGAAAGTCACGTACTTCTTTTATGGTGTGCAGAAACCTGGAACCTGTGAGAGCCAGGACAAGTAAGCTATGAACCACGATTTCCTACTCTGCAACAAGCAGCAGGAAGACTTTGCCTTTTGGATGGAGTCCCAGAGCTACAGAGGAAAAAGGAACTTGATGTCACAGAGCCCATCTCAGATACTACAGATCAGGGGACTGTGGCCCAGGGAGACTCAACCCCCAACACTCACCCTCCCAACCCTGTGAGCAGCCACTCCAGGTCTGAACACAGGGTTCGTTCTGTCCCTCCACACCACACGACCTCTGATAGAGCACCTGCAGCCGTCTGGGGGGGGGTACTGGTCTTGCTTTCACACATTTCTGAATCCCGTGTTGATGGAGCAGGCAAATTAAAAATACTCTATAGTCAAGGCTGTCCACTAAAGAGGCCAAATTGTTACACATGCTAAGAAAAAATAAGAAGTTATGAAGAGTAACATGTTGCCCAAAAAATATAGCAAAATAGGGACAAAGTTAGTGTCACCAGGGAGTGATAAACTGAATTATATCAACTAGTTTACTATTTATAAAATATTAGAGAAAGTAAATTATTTGTATTTTCCCCTATTTTTTTTTCTCATGTATGCATACACATAAGACCCAAGGACCTAACTGCATCACTCTGGCTACTGTAGCAAGTAAGGACATTTTAAAAACATAGGTAAAGCAGAGGGTGCTGCAGGACAAAGAATGTTTTCTAGCCCAGAGTTTGATAGAGCCAATTATCTCCTAACAGCAAAAGACAAGCTGCTAGTAGTTGCACTATGGGGTGCTCCAAAGAA